GGACTGGCACCCCGGGGGGCTATGTGGTGCCACAGCGACGGGGCCGCTCTGCCGAGCCAGGGAGCCGCCCGGCTTCCCCCACCGCACTGCCCCCCATCACCCGCCCCACATAAGCACACACCCGCACAGCATCCCCCCCCCCCCCCATAGAGCTGGAAGGGAAGGTTACCTGATCGACCGGTTTTTATCCGAGAGACCCTTATCGGGATTAATTCTCACGGTTTCCGGCGATCAGGGAATTGGATGACCTCCCCCGTGCTACGTGGTACCCGCGGCGCTGCTGCCGGCCTTAATATGGTGTGGTCGCGGCGTGGGGCATTCGGCCACCGCGGTTGAGGCGCATTTCCCCCCACACACACCCCCACGAGTCGACGGGGCAAGCAGGGGAGGCACGAGACAGCATGAATAGCGGGGTCACAGGGGCTGTTGCGCATAGTCATGGGGGGTTGGGATAATTGCGCTTGAGCGCGCAGGCCCCATTGTTAGGAAGGGTAAGGGAGTAATTAGGATGTACGCCGCCAACGTCGCTCACTGATTAGCATATCAACAGCGCCTGGGGACTGCCGTGCGCGGGCTTGGGGTGCACGAGCCCATTGTTCAGCGCAGCATCCCCTTTGGAGGTAGGGAGGATAAATAGAGGAGCGCAGAGGGGAAATCGCTCTCTTACTCCAGCGCCAGGCGACCAGACGCAGCTCGAGCCAGCGACCCGGACGTCCGTGCGACGCACCGAGGCACGCGGTTAACACAAGGATCAGCGGACCGCCGTGGACACTTAACAGTGAGTAAGAAGGTGAATTAGAATCATAGCCGATAAATAGGGAATAGGTGCCGGTTTAGTGGAATAGGCCAGCCTCGTCGACTCACTAATTCAACATTAGTTATCAGGTAATAAATCATTATAGCGAAGCGTGGTCTCGCGTGATCTTGTCGTGCAGTGTGAGCGTGTGGGTGCGCGGTGTGCACAGTGGTTCGCCACGTGAGTGAGCGCTGCGCGGAGCTGAGCGCGCGGGTTGCGCGTGGGTACGCAGTGATTCTGTGGTGCTGCGGCTCGCCTCAGGGGAGCGCTGCGCAGAGCGGTGCGAGAGTGGGTGTCGCGTGTGTTCACTCCGTGTGTGATACAGGTGCGCGAGTATAACGTGAGTTGAGTTGGAGTGCGCGGAGCGGCGTGTGTGTGGGCGTGCGTGCGTAATCGGCGTCCCCCAGGTGCGCGCTCATAACGTAAGCGGCCAGCAGGCGGCGAGCGCTGCGCAGAGCGGCGCAAGAGTGCGTATCGCGTGTGGAGCTGTATGCGTGTATGCGCGCACGTTCACTACGTGTATAATACGGATGCGCATTGGTAACGTGCCGCACAGGGCTATACTGCGAGCACGGCGTTTGATTGACGATGATGTGCGCACGTATGCTCGCAGCGTGGGAGCGCGGCGCGAGGCTGTAAATAGTAGGGGTGTCGCGTTCGAATGCCGGCGAAACCGTAGCGGGTAATAGGGAGGTGGGGTAACGTAAACGAATAGGGGATGCAGGCGGGAGGGATCTCGGGGGCTAGCGACCCCCACAAGACACACAGAGACACACACAGAGACACACAGACACACAGAGACACACAGAGACACACACAGAGACACACAGACACACAGAGACACACACAGAGATACACAGACACACAGAGACACACAGAGACACAGAGACACACAGAGAGCTGCAGAGAGCCGCAGGCATCGCGAGACGCACCGGTGCACGTGGGAATGAATTCACAGCCGAGTCGGTGAGATGCAATGGAAGCGACGTTTATTGTTACTCTGAGACACACAGAGACACACAGAGACACACAGTGAGACACAGTGAGACACACAGAGACACACACGGGGGTGGCGGTGGTGGTGTCGGTATTGGCACTGCGCCAGTGATGAAAGCGGCGTTGGTGGTGGAGGTGGCATTGATGATGGTAGCAGCGGTGATGGTGGTTGTGGTGCGGTGGTGGTGGTGTTTGTTGTGCGGTGGTTGTGCTGCGGTGGTGGTTGTGGTTGTGCTGCAGTGGTTGTGGTTGTGGTGAGTGTAACTCTCCAACACGTGGCTTCACGGCGGGGCATCGCGGGTTCATGGGTGACTGAATGGACGAGTGAGGGGACAAGTGACTGAATGGACGAGTGGACAAGTGACTGAATGGACGAGTGAGTGGACAAGTGACTGAATGAACGAGTGAGTGGACAAGTGACTGAATGGACGAGTGAGTGGACAAGTGACTGAATGAACGAGTGAGTGGACAAGTGACTGAATGAACGAGTGAGTGGACAAGTGACTGAATGATGAGTGAGTGGACAAGTGAATGAATGGATGGACAAGTGAGTGACTGATGTCACGAGTGGACTGACTTGATGAGTGAATGACTGACTGAATGAAAAGAGCCACAGTCTGGAACACACACGCTCATCGTGATCGCCAAGATCACCTCGTCGTCGCACGCACGCACAGACACACACACACAGACGCACACACACACAGCACAGACACACACACAGACGCACACACACAGACGCACATACACAGACACACACACACACAGATGCACACACACAGACGCACACACACACACGCACACACGCACGCGCACTCATCGTAATCGCCAAGATCACCTCGTCGTCACACGCACGCACACACAGACGCACACACAGAGACGCACACATGTCAGATCGGTGGTGGTGGTGGTGTGGGTCACGGGGAGAGTGTGAGTGTGTGTGGGTCACTCAGAGGTCACGGCGGTGGTGTGAGTGTGTGGGGGTCATTCAGAGGTCACGTGGCTAGTGTGTTTGTGGGTCACTCAGAGGTCACGGGGCTGGTGTGTGTGTCGCTCAGAGGTCACGAGGGGGGCGTGGTCGTGCTTAGGTCACGGTGGGCGGGGTCACGTCGCGGGGTCGCGGGGTCACGGGGTCACGAGGTCACATTTCACGGCGCGGGGCAGTCGGCGACGACGCAGCGGCAGCGCTGAGCGACGGCCACGCTGGCGCTCAGCGCTGTGCCGTTGGGGCACAGCAGCGGCACCGACACGAAGGCGGCGGTGGCGGTGCCGGTGATGGTGGCGGTGGCGGTGCCGGTGACGTAGCCGGAGCCGCTCGTCTCCCGGCAACAGGAGCAGCTGCTGCGCCACAGCTGAGGTGGAGCGGCGGTCGCCGTGGAGACCGAGGAGGAGGAGGAGGACCACGGGTTCGGCCTGCAACGAAGGTCAGAAGGTAAAGGTCGGCCCCCAGGTAGCCTCTAGCGGCAGGGCTGTCGGGGGCAAGTGCTGCCGGTAGAAAGTGGGTGTGAGGGTGGTTGGTGTTAATAATGGTGATGACACAATGATGATGACGATGGAACGATGGTGATGGTGTAATCATGGTGACGGTGTGACCACGGTGACGGTGTAGCCACGGTGATGGTGTAACGACGGTTACGGTGTAACCATGGTAACTGTGTAACCATGGTGACGGTGTAACCACGGCGCCGGTATAACCACGGTGACGGTGTAACCAAGGCGACGGTGTAACTACGGTGACGGTGTAACCACGGTGACGGTGTGACGTCTCCGTTGCGCTCACAGGCTGCTCGAGCTGCAGGCCCCCACACATTTGGTGACCTCCACGGGCCCCTCGCTGCTGCAGCCGCCCACGCTGACCAGCGTCCACACGCGCTGGGGCTGGCAGATCTCCTGGGGGGCTTCTAGGGGGGGGTAGTGGGGGGGGTGTAGTGGGGGTGGGGGTAGTGGGGGTGGGGGTAGTGGGGGTAGGGGGGGGGTAGTGGGGGTGTAGTGGGGGTGGGGGGTGGGGGTGGGGTGGGGGGTGGGGGGTGGGGTGTAGTGGGGGTAGTGGGGGTGGTGGGGGGGGGTAGTGGTAGGGTGTAGTGGGGGTGGGGGTGGGGTGTGGTGGGGGGTAGTGGGGGGTGGGGGGTAGTGGGGGTGGGGTTTGGTGGGGGGTAGTGGAGGTGGGGGGTAGTGGGGGGTAGTGGGGGTGGGGTGGGGTGTAGTGGGGGTGGGGGGGTAGACAGAGATACAGTAATCCCAGGTAGCCTCTAACAGGGATGTAGGGGCAAGTGCTGCTAAGTAGCGAGCAGCAGCAGTAATACACAAAGATCCCTCGTGTAGCCCCAGCAGACTGTTGGGGCAAGTGCTGTTAGCCAGCATCCTCACACACACTCGCACACACTCACAAAGACAAAGGTCTCCCGTGTAGCCTCTAACAGGGCTGTAGGGGCAAGTGCTGTTAGTAGCGAGTAGGAGCGCCTATGAAGGCTACCGGCACTGTGGCACACGAGGGGGTGGGTGGCCAGCACCACGCCCGGCCGCCTTTGTCTCCCCCAGTGGCGATGTTTACTACACAGTGCAACAGGTACTCATTTGAGTCGACCTAGGGGAGGCCCAGGACCGGTTCAGATAATCGTCACTGACGGTGTTGGCCGTGAGCGGGAATCGAACTCGGGTCGCTGAGTTCGTAGCGCAGCGAAGCGCTAACCACTACACCACCGCTCCCCATACACACACACAGACACACATAGACACACAGACACACACACAGACACACACGCACACACAGACACACACACAGACACACATAGACACACACAGACACACACATAGACACACACAGACACACACACAGACACACACACAGACACACACACAGACACACACGCACACACAGATACACACACAACACACAGACACACACACAGACACACACACACACAGACACAAACACACAAACACACACAGACACACACAGACACACACAGACACACACAAAGACACAGACACACACACAGACACACACACAGACACACACGTGCACACACACACACCACGCACACACAGACACACACACAGACATACACGCAGACACACACACAGACACACACAGACACACAGACACACGCAGACACGCGGTGAGGGTGAGTCAGTGCGATGTGAGTGTGAATTTACCATCGTTGCACTTGTAGGTGATGCAGCACCCGTGGACATCATAGACCACGCTCACCTAGCAGCAGGGACAGCGTCAGCACCATCATCATCATCAGCACCATCATCATCATCAGCACCATCATCATCATCAGCACCATCATCATCATCAGCACCATCATCATCATCAGCATCATCATCATCAGCACCATCATCATCAACATCATCATCATCAGCACCATCATCATCATCAGCACCATCATCATCAGCACCATCATCATTATCAGGGTCATCATTATCAGCACCATCATCATCATCAGCACCATCGTCATTATCAGCACCATCATCATTATCAGCACCATCATCATGAGCACCATTATCATCATCATCAGCACCATCATCATCAGCACCATCATCATCAGCACCATCATCATCATCATCAGCACCATCATCATCATTATCAGGGCCATCATCATCAGGGTTCCAGGCAGGTGATCTGGTGAGTGAGTGTATGAGTGAGTGTATGAGAAAGTGGCTGAGTGAGTGAGTGAGTGGCTGAGTGAGTGAGTGATTGTATGAGAAAGTGGTTGAGTGAGTGAGTGAGTGGCTGAGTGAGTGAGTGGCTGAGTGAGTGAGTGAGAGTATGAGAAAGTGGCTGAGTGTATGAGAAAGTGGCTGAGTGAGTGAGTGAGTGTCTGAGTGAGTGAGTGAGTGTATGAGTGAGTGTATGAGAAAGTGGCTGAGTGAGTGAGTGAGTGTATGAGTGAGTGAGTGTATGAGTGAGTGTATGAGAAAGTGGCTGAGTGACTGAGTGGCTGAGTGAGTGGCTGAGTGAGTGAGTGGCTGAGTGGCTGAGTGAGTGAGTGTATGAGTGAGTGAGTGTATGAGTGAGTGTGTGAGTGAGTGTATGAGTGAGTGTATGCGTGAGTGAGTGAGTGTATGAGTGAGTGAGTGTATGAGTGAGTGTATGAGAAAGTGGCTGAGTGAGTGAGTGGCTGAGTGAGTGAGTGGCTGAGTGAGTGAGTGACTGGCTGAGTGAGTGAGTGGCTGAGTGAGTGAGTGGCTGAGTGAGTGAGTGTATGAGTGAGTGAGTGTATGAGTGAGTGTGTGAGTGAGTGTATGAGTGAGTGTATGAGTGAATGTATGAGTGAGTGAGTGTATGAGTGAGTATGTGTGTATGAGTGAGTGAGTGTATGAGTGAGTGTGTGTGTATGAGTGAGTGAGTGTATGAGTGAGTGTGTGAGTGAGTGAGTGGCTGAGTGAGTGAGTGTGTGAGCGAGTGGCTGAGTGAGCGAGTGGCTGAGTGAGTGAGTGGCTGAGTGAGTGAGTGAGTGTGTGAGTGAGTGAGTGTGTGAGTGAGTGAGTGGCTGAGTGAGTGAGTGTGTGAGCGAGTGGCTGAGTGAGCGAGTGGCTGAGTGAGTGAGTGGCTGAGTGAGTGAGTGTGTGAGTGAGTGGCTGAGTGAGTGAGTGGCTGAGTGAGTGAGTGAGTGGCTGAGTGTGTGAGTGAGCGAGTGGCTGAGTGAGTGAGTGGCTCACATTTGCACAGGTGTGTGGGTACTGGGGCTCCAGGCAGGTGATGCGGTGCTCGCTCAGCAACGCGGAGCCCTGTGACTCAGCACACTCCAGGAAGGAGCAATTGTCCTTGCTCCACTGATCCCCAACCTGCACACGGACACAGCAGAGGTCGCAAACGGGTTTTGATTCCTTACCCGTACCCGGCCGCACCAGGGTCACAAACGGGTACCCGTACCCGGCCGTACCCGTACCCTACCCGTACCCTACCCGTAACCGGCCGGGTACGGGTAGGGTACGGGTATCGGGTACCTGATTGCGACCTCTGGGATGAAGCCATGTTGCAGGCGCGGGTGGGTTGATTCTAGGAACTTGAATTGTGAGAAGAGACAAGACGTTGGGAAATGAGTGACAAACGGTGACTCACCAATGACTCACGGTCTACCCGTACCCGGCCGCACCAGGGTCGCAAACGGGTACCCGTACCTGTACCCGGCCGGGTATCGGGTAGCCGGGTATCGGGTCGGATACGGGTATCGGGTACCCAGTTGCGACCTCTGAGACACAGTCACCAGCGGGTCGCCTTTCAACAGACTGCTGGGGCCGTTAGTGTGGACGTGTGTGTGTGGACGTGTGTGTGTGTACACGTGTGTGTGTGTGTACGTGTGTGTGTACGTGTGTGTGTGTAAGTGTGTGTACGTGTGTGTGTACGTGTGTATGTACGTGTGGACGTGTGTGTGTGGACTTGTGTGTGTTTGTACGTGTGCATGTGTACGTGTGTGTGTGTGTACGTGTATGTGTGTGAGTGTGTGTGTAAGTGTGTGTACGTGTGTGTGTACGTGTGTGTGTACGTGTGGACGTGTGTGTGTGTACGTGTGTGTGTGTGTATGTGTGTGTACGTGTGTGTATGTGTGTACGTGTGTGTATGTGTGTGTGTACGTTTGTGTATGTGTGTGTGTACGTGTGTGTGTGTGTTTACGTGTGTGTATGTGTGTGTATGTGTGTGTGTACGTGTGTGTATGTGTGTGTGTATGTGTGTGTGTTGAACTTATTTCGCACCACCGTACGTATCCAACCGCGCTAATTGGAGGTACGGGGGGGGGGGAAGGACATGAAACTACACAACAGTGGGTGAGTGGGTGAGTTAGTGGGTGGCAAGCCGAGTTGGTGAGTGGGAAGGCGATTTGGTGAGTTGGTGAGTGAGTGGGAAGGCGAGTGGGTGAGTTAGTGGGTGGGTGGATGAGTGGGTGAGTGAGAAGGAAAATGGTTGAGTTGCTGAGTGGGTGGTTGAGAGAATGAGTGGGTGGGAAGGCAAGTGGGTGAGTTGGTGAGTGAGTGGATGAGTGAGTGGGTGGGAAGGCAAGTGGGTGAGTTGGTGAGTGGATGAGTGAGTGGGTGGAAAGGCAAGTGGGTGAGTTGGTGAGTGAGTGGATGAGTGAGTCTCACCTGGTACATCTTGCCGTTGTATTCACATGTCGGAGAAGGCTCTGTGACACGCCACACACACGACACCACCACGGACAGTCACCGCCAAAGAACCACACAGCCACTGCGCCATAGGTGAGCGGGTGAGTGAGTGGTGAGTGGGTAGCTAGGTAGGTGTTTAGGTGCCTGGGTCAGTGAGTGTGTGAATGAGTGTGGCTGTGTGAGTGATTACGTGGGTCAATAAGTGAGTGTGTCGGTGAGTAGCTGAGTGAGTGGCTCAGTGAGCGAGTGACTGTGTGAGTGAGTGGCTGAGTGAGTGGCTGAGTGAGCGAGTGGCTGAGTGAGTGGCAGGGTGAGTGAGTGGCTGAATGAGTGACTGTGTGAGTGAGCTGGTGGCTGAGTGAGTGAGTGGCTGAGTGAGCGAGTGGCTGAGGGAGTGAGTGGCAAGGTGAGTGAGTGGCTGAGTGAGCGAGTGGCTGAGTGAGTGAGTGGCTGAATGAGCGAGTGGCTGAGTAAGTGGCTGAGTGAGTGTCTGAGTGAGTGAACGATTGGCTGAGTGAGCGAGTGGCTCAGTGAGTGAGTGAGTGAGTGGCTCAGTGAGTAAGTGGCTGAGCGAGTGAGTGAGTGAGTGAGCGAGTGGCTGAGTGATTGGCTGAGTGAGTCTCTGAGTGAGCGAGTGGCTGAGCGAGTGGCTGAGTGAGTGAGGGGCTGAGTTAGTGAGTGGCTGAGTGAGTCTCTGAGTGAGTGAACGATTGGCTGAGTGAGCGAGTGGCTCAGTGAGTGAGTGGCTCAGTGAGTGAGTGGCTGAGCGAGTGAGTGAGCGAGTGGCTGAGTGAGTGGCTGAGTGAGTCTCTGAGTGAGCGAGTGGCTGAGCGAGTGGCTGAGTGAGTCCCTTACGAAGCACACACTCGTAGTTGCGGCAGCAGCTGCTCTGAGCGCTGCTCTCCATGAGCTCCATGAGAACGCTGCCCGGCGAACACGCCGGCACCGCACAGTCCTCCGGACAAACTACACACACACAGACACAGACAAAGATTCCCCGTATAGCCTCAACTGACTGTTGGGGCAAGTGCTGTTAGCGATCAACTATGAAGGCTGGCACGGATAATGAGGGGGTGGGTGGCCAGCACAACGCCTGACTGCCTTTCTTTCACCAGTGGCGATGTTTACACACCGCACCAGGTACTCATCTTAGTCGACCTAGAGGAGGCCCAGGGCCGGTTCAAATAAACGTGTTGGTCGGGAGCAGGAATCGAACTCGGGTTGCCAGGTCCATAGTACAGCGCGCTAACCGCTACATTGCCGCTCTCCACACAACAACAACAACCGCCATTCGCCACTAAGTGGCGCCGACATCACGATGGGGCTTGTGCCAGGCTATGTGCACGTTGAGGCCACGTGAAGTGTCGAACGCCCGCTGGCAGGAGGTCACGGGGCAGACCCAGGTGCCACGGGTTGACTGACTGAGATGACTGGCCGATGCACCACCTGTGCCCCCTACTGTGCCAACTTGCTGTGCTTTAGCCACCCGGTGCTCCGCTCGTTGTTGTGAGCGTCGCTCCTCTGCCCTTCGTTGTTGTTGGAGGGCGACTGCCTCCAACTGCCCAGTAGCGTCCTTCACGAGCCTCCTCCACAGATGCCGATCTTGACACCGCTGGTACCAGTCATGAGGAAGTCCACTCAGCTCCACATCCTCCCGTACCGAATCAGGCCATCTCTTCTCTAGCCCGTGCCGCGCCCGTTTAGCCCCCTCGATCCGGCCGAACAAAAGCTGTTAAAGCATGCGGTGGCTGGGCATGCGGGCTACATGACCCAGCCAACGCAGCCTTGCCCACCGGAGGAGCTCACCGATGGGACTTTGCCCAGATCTTTTAGGATTTGTGAGCTCATCATACAATCCAAGCCTGGCTAAACCCAGGATGGATCGTAGGCAGGCCAGCCTAAATGTTTCCAATCTGCGAAGATGCTCTATTAGGGGGGTCCACGTTTCGCAAGCGTAGAGAAGGGATGCAATGACCGTGGCTGAGAAGACTTGAAGCTTCGTGCGGAGCGACAGACCAGGTAGCTTCCACACAGTGTTACGCAACCAATGAAAAGAAAATGCCGCTCTACTGATTCGGAGTGAGACATCTGCTGTCAAACCGGAGCGCACTGCCCAGGTATGGGAAACTCTCCACTCTCTCCACAACTGCCCCATCACCAATTGGGAGTTGTGGGGGTGGGTTGCCCGATGGTACAAAATACCCAGGCAGGTGCTTAGTTTTGGTGGGGCTGATGGTAAGGCCCCACCTCTTAGTGGCACGCTCCAGGTTCAGCAGCAGGAGCTCCAACTCCTCCTCTGAGTGAGCGGCAATTACCAGATCATCGGCATATGTAACATGGTTGACCAATAGAGAGCCATCCCTTGACTGTACCCGGGCATCGATCAGCCTCCCATTGTATCTTTACCAAATAGAAATTCCTCTAGTACAGCCATCAAAGGCTTCACGAACTACGTGGTTGAAAAATATGTTAAATAATCTGGGAGCCAGAGGACATCCCTGTTGCACCGCAAGGTGTATAGGGTATGGCTCCAACTCCCGGCCACGTAGTTTTACCCGGGCCCGCTCACCATCATGAAGGTCCTTAATGATCGTGAGCAGAGGGTCAGGGACTCAGAAAGCACGAAGAACAACCCAGAGCCCAAGCCTACTGATGGTATCATAGGCCTTGACCAGGTCACTTAAAGCAGAGATGTAGGTCTTGTTGGAATTCCCTACACCTCTGCTGTAGCAAACAGACAGAAAATATGGCATCTGTGCAGGACCGTCCTTTCCTGAAACCACATTGGGGCTCCACAAGCCTCTCCTCAGCGTGCCTAGCAAGGCGATTTTGAATAATCCTTGCCAGGACCTTTCCCGACACACTGAGGAGTGAGATGCCCCTGTAGTTGTTACAGTCTGTGCGGTCTCCCTTCTTAAAGAGGGGGACCACAAGGGCATCCTTCCAATCCTGCAGAACCCGTCCAGTGGTCCAGACTGTTGTTATCATGTTATGTACGGCAGTCTGTACACAAACGCCATCTTCCCTCAGCATTTCGCTTGGGGAATCATCTCTGCCCGGTGCCTTTCCTGGTCTCAGACTCCGGATCGCCTTCAGTACTTCCTCAACAGATGGTACCTCAGCCAGCCACTCACAGGGAGTGACTTCTTCAAATATTTGAGGCACCGCAGCCTCAGCAGGGTTATCCCAACTTTGTGCCATGATGTTTTCCAGGCTGAGAGATTTCCCCTCCCCAGGGAATTCACAGAAATGCTCAGCAAATCTGCAAACCTGTTCCTGGGGGTCGGAGATTGGATCACCGTTTTTTCCCATCATGATGATAATAGGTGTGATGCTGCAGGTTCCTTTTTTAATGGAGTTAAATAGGGATTGTGATGGCGGGCCATTGAGGCAGACTCCATCTCCTCAGCAACCCACGACCACCACCCATCCTTGCAGCACCTCACGGCTCTCCGAACCTCCGAGCGAAGGCTGCGGTAAACCTCCTCATTCTCTGATGTGAGATGCTGTAGACGATTAGAGTGGGCCTGTCGCTTTTTCTCAGCCATCCTGAACACCTCCTCTGTCAGCCAGGGTCTCTGGGGAGGTCTGGACCGCGTACCCAAAGCCACCATTGCAGCTGCCTGAGTCACAGTCCTAAACCTCACCCATTTACCCTCAACATCTGGAGGAGTGGGGGACGATGCCAACCCCAGCCGCAAGCGATGATGAAATTCACACTTGCAACTTTCATCAGCTACCCGAGACCAGGCCACCTTAGGTTGGAATGGGGTCCTGGGTGTACACCCACCACCGGAGTGGAAGAATGGCAGGCGCATCTTACAGATGACTAGTCGATGGTCAGAGGGCAGATCAGCTCCACGGTAGGTACTGGTGTCAAGGACATGGGCCCGCATCCGCTGTTCTGTCACTATGTAGTCCAGCAGATGTTCTTGCTTGGACCCGGCATGCATCCATGATGTTGTGTGGATGCGCCGATGCCGGAACAGCTTGTTGGTAATTACAAACCCATGGGCTGCACACAAATCTAGCAGCCTCCTACCATTGTTATTGAGCTGATCTGGCTCATGCCTTCCAATCACTCCAGACCAGGTGCCAGCATCATGACCAACTCGGGCATTGAAGTCACCCAATAAGATCATTCTATCCCGAGGGGCCACTTTAGCCAGCACCAGTGACAGGAGGTCATAGAAGGCATCTGACTCATCGGCCTTACCTGCATCCTTCAACGGATGTTCGTCTTTGGTGGGGGCATAAGTAACCACGACCACCACTCCTCGCCTCTGGTTGATGGGAAGGCGAGCCCAAAGTAGCTTCCCACACCTCACCGCCACGCTCCCACGCCCCCTTCATTCTTTTATTCAGAAGAAGAGCAACTCCCTGTTGTTTGGCAGTCTCCTGCCCCGAGTAGAGGACTGTCCACCCCTCATGGTGACAGAAGCCAGAGCCGGTCCACCAGACCTCCTGAATGCCACAGAGATCCAGGCGGTACCGGTCCAGCTCCCGACAGAGGAGTGGCAGCCTCTCCTCCGCAGTGAGCATTCGAACATTCCGTAGTGACTTTTTGTTGTTTGTGGAGGAGCCCCGAGGGTAAAGATTCAATCTCCTGGCTCCGCCAAATGGGGTTTGGCCAGGAGACGTCATCAACGCCTGTCCCCCCAGGGCCTCCGGAACAAGCTTATTAATTAGACACACAGACACACACAGACGCACACACAGAGTCACACACACAGAGTCACACACACAGAGATACACACACACAAACCTACACAGACAGACACACACACATAGAGACACACACACACACACACAGACACACACACACACAGAGACACACACACACACAGAGACACACACACAGAGACACACACACAGACACACACACACACAGACACAGACACACACACAGACACACACACAGACACACACACAGACACACACACAGAGACACACACACACAGACACACAGACACACACACAGACACACACACACAGACACACAGACACACACAGAGACACACACACACAGACAGTGCGTACCACACTGGTAGTGCGGGCAGCACTCTCCGGGCCGCGTGGTGGCGACGGCGAAGGATCCGCGCTTGGGGCACTCCTTGCCGGCGGCGGCGCTCTGGTCGCAGGCCGCGGTGACGGCTCGCTGGGCCCCCGTGCACGAGTCGACGAACAGCGACACGCACGGCGTCATAGGCCTCTCCAACTCCTGGCAGCGGCAAGGTGGAGGGTGTAGTGGTGTAGTAGTGTATAGTGTAGTGTATAGTGTGTAGTGTATAGTGTGTAGTGTAGTGTATAGTGTAGTGTATAGTAGTGTAGTGTATAGTAGTGTATAGTATAGTGTAGTAGTCTATAGTGTAGACAGTCCCCGGGTTACGGACGGGTTCCCCACGAACGATCCGTAACCCCCCAAATCAACGACAGAATCCCACAGCCGCACGTAGTTTGTCGCCTCCCCTACAAACCCATCATCACTCGGTCCATTTCCCATCGCTGCCCCGCATCGAATCCCTCTACGATACGTCCTGGACTTGTCTACGATTCTTTAATTTCGATGGAATATCTACCCTCCCGCTAACCACACCCCGTTGTTAAACTCACGGGACATTTTACTGCATCGCCATTGTGTATCATGAACACCATGGAACATTTGAACGTCAGTTGTTAACAGAAAGCGGCAGCTTCCGAAAAATAAAAATCATCTTCTTGGTTCTTTTGGTAAAGTCACGTAGAAGGGAAATAATAAAATAATAAAATTTTACATAATAAAATAATTCTCACGACGTTTCGGCCACAACGCAAGCAGCCGTCCGTTGTGGCCGAAACGTCGTGAGAATTGTATTTTATTATGTTTTATTTTTATTATTTTATTATTTCCCTTCTACGTGACTTTACCGAAAGAACCAAGAAGATGAATCCCTGCAGTCACGAAAGCTTTAAATCGAAAAATAAAAATAAATCAATTAATTGATTCATTTGTATTTTTTTTTACCTACGTGACTTTACCAAAAAAAACCCAAGAGTATGAATCCTTGCAGTCACGAAGGCTTCACATCTAGAATGTCCGTTTACCGTTCATTAGCCTAGGCCAACGGTCATCTCCGATGACCGTGAGCGAATCGGGGTGTGATTGCGTCAACTCAGGTACGTGCGGTGAAGAATGCGTGAGATGAGTTCAAAATGAAGAAAAGCAGCTGCAGCAACTGAGAGTTACGAGACGGCGTGGCGGTTAATCCGCACGGAACCAATGTAAGAGCTCGAGCGAGAGTGCAGAGTGGCTATACACCACCGCCGCTTTGGGGAAGACTTGGGGAAGACGCTGCACCGCCTTACGCCTCTCCGCTCTGCAGTATTCATTTGCAACCTCACTGCGCCAGAGGTCGCAACTGGGTACCCGATACCCGTACCCTACCCGATACCCGGCTACCCGTACCCGGCCGGGTACGGGTAGCCGTTTGCGACCCTGGTGCGGCCAGGTACGGGTACGGGTAGGCCGTGAGTCACTGGTGAGTCACCGTTTGTCACTCATTTCCCAACGTCTTGTCTCTTCTCACAATTTAAGTTCCTAGAATCAACCCACCCGCGCCTGCAACATGGCTTCATCCCAGATGTCGCAATCGGGTACCCGTAAATCAATGCATAGATTGATGCTTATGTGATTGTGGTTATGGTTGTACTTTATTAATCCCTAATCTCTGCCATTGCATACAATGAAACAAGAAATGATAAAAAAGTAAAAACAGAGCAATGTAATACAACACACTATTAGACATTATTAGACATGTGTTAGTGAATTTTCAAATATTTTCGGCAGGAAATGAGTTTTCAGATTTAGATATTTTTCTGGGTTGAGATCCCCAGACACCCTCGAAGATTTGGTCCCCCCCAATGTTGACTCCATGGCTACGGCCGTGGTGTATAGTGTACTTTATCGTAGTGTGGTGTATAGTGTACTTCATCGTAGTGTGGTGTGTAGTGTACTTCATCGTAGTGTGGTGTGTAGTGTACATATGTAATGTGAGGATATACCCGGGTTGCTGATGGATCACACCTCGTTACGATGATTGGCTCTGCCGGTCCTGGCCCATAGCCAATGGGGGGAAGTCTAGGGGCGTGGCCCTGACGTAATGGGAAGGTGACATCTGTAAGTAGAGGATTGGATCTGCTGGCTTTAGCCACAGCCAATAGGGGGACGAGTCAGGGGTGTGGTCCTGGGAACGTACCATGGAGTCTAGAAGATTCCATAGAGGTTAACCAGGATTGGTGGAAAGGTACCACGTGACCCGGGTATTAAAAGGGGTGGAGACGAACAACACGTGGTCAGATCTGGAACGAACGGAGGGTGAGGCCACGCTGGAGCGGGGTCCAGGCTGCCACGTGGCCGTGCGTGTCTCTCTCTCTCTCCCTCTCACGCTGTCTGTCAGCAGCATGAAGGAGTAAGATGGGAGTGTTGTGAACGAAAGACAAATAAAGACCGGATTCCAGAAGTCGCTTCCACGACCATTATTACACATATGTAGAACTTCTGGTGGGGAACAGCCGTTGTTGTTGTTGTGCGTGTGAGTTTGTGTATGTGTGAGTTTGTGTGTGTGAGTTTGTGTATGTGTGAGTTTGTGTGTGTGTGAGTTTGTGTGTGCGTTAGTTTGTGTGTGCGTGACGTCCCCACAGGCACTCACCTTGCAGACCGTCGCCGGAGACAGAGTCGTGGCTGCTGAAGCTGCAACACAAAGACGGGAGGTCACGTCTGGGGCAAACGGGGGCCCACTCACGTCCAGCCCACCAGCCCAGGGCATCCCCCCCCCGCACAACCACCCACTCATCCATTCATTCACTCACCGACTCATCCACTCATCCACTCACCCACCCACCCACCCAACCACTCACCCACTCACCCACTCATCCACTCACCCACCCATCCACTCACCCACTCAACCACCCACCCACTCAACTACCCAACCACCCAACTACTCGCTGACTCAACCACCCAACCACTCACCCACCCAATCACTCACCCGCCCGCCCGACCACCCAGCCACCCACTCACCCACCAACCCACTCATCCACCCACCCACTCATCCACCCACCCACTCATTCACTCACCCACCCAACCACCCACTTAACCACTGACCCAACCACCCAGGAAGACAACCGCTTGTGTTATTTTCTGTTATTTTCTTTGAACCTATCTACGTGACTTTACCGAACGACCCAAGAATTAGAATTCCTGCAGTCACGAAAGTTTTACGCCTATACAAAGATAAGTGTGTAGTAGTGTAGCGTGTAGTGTACAGCAGAATGTTAAACTTCTCTGGAACCACCACCGTTGCACGTAGCCAACTGTGCTAATCAAAGTGCAGCTCTCGTGTGTTGCGAACAAACCTGCTGGCGTGCCGGGCAGCGTCGTGGTCGTGACATTGGACTTGGCCCTGCAGAGGAAGCGAACGGCGTAGTTGAGGCACAGCGGACTGGCGGCACTCTGGTCGGCGTTGCGGCAGACGAGGCCGAGGAGACGCTCGCAGGTGACCGCCTGGCCCAGCGTGGAGACGTCGCGGCCGGGGTACATCACGGCCCGGCACTGCACGGCCACCGGCTCCGCGCAGACGTCGAACCCCCGGCTCCGGATCCTCTCGATCGTCTCGACGTCGCCGCCGTTGTCCGGCGTCGGCGAGTCCACGTCGAGCCAGGGCGTCCACTCGTCTGCCGGAGGAGGAGTCTCCGCGCTCGGGGCGGGGAGGGAGGGAGAGGGCCCGGACAGGGCCGTGACGGACTCCGTCGTGACGCGGCTGGAGCCCAGGCTGAGGGTGGCGACGGGGTGGAGAGTTTGCGGCGAAGTCGCCCCGCTGCTGCTCCGCTTGGCGTCGGTCGTCGCGCTTCCCGGGAGGGAGACCGCCGTGAACGGTGATGTCGGTCTCGTCGTCGTCGTCGTCATCTTTGGCCTGGCCGGCGGGGCGCAGAAGAACTTGACGGCGTAGTTGAGGCACAGCGGCCTGGTCCCGTTCTGGTCGGCGTTGCGGCAGATGAGGCCGACGAGACGGTCGCAGATCACCTTCTGCCCCAGCGTGGCGACGTCCCGGCCCGGGTACATCACGGCCTCGCACTGCACGGCCACGGGCTCCGAGCAGACGCTGACGCCCGTGCTCCTGACCTTCTGGATGGTCTCGATGTCCCCCTCATTGTCCGGCGTGGGCGCGTCCACGTCGAACCAGCGCGTCCACTCGGCCGGCTTGATGTCGGGCTCCGTGGAGTTCGCGTCCGACGAAGGCGAAGTCGTAACCGGGCTCAACGACACTCCCGGAGCGACGGAAGATGACGCGGCGGTCGGCCTCGTCGGCGGCGGCCTGGTCACCGGTCCACAGAAGAACTTGACGGTGTAGTCCAGACACAGCGGCCTGCTCCCGCTCTGGTCGGCGTTGCGGCAGATGAGGCCGATGAGACGGTCGCAGATCACCTTCTGCCCCAGCGTGGAGATGTCGCGGCCGGGGTACATCACGGCCTGGCACTGGACGCCCACGGGCTCCGAGCAGACGTCGACGCCCGCGTTCCTGATCCTCTCGATGGTCTCGATGTCCCCCTCGTTGTCCGGCGTCGGCACGGACACGTTGAGCCAGGGCGTCCACTCGGCGGGCTTCACGGTGAGCTCCGTGGACGCGGCAGGAGTGGGCCCGGCCACCGTGGTGGTCGTCTTGGTGAGGCCCGGGGCCCCCGGCGATCTAGAGACGGGCGAAACAATTCAATAAACATTTGGGCTCAGTTGTGCGGGGCACTTCAAAATACAAACTCTCTTGTAATAAAGCTCGTTGAGGCGACTTCTGGAATCCGTGTTTTATTCAACTTGCATTACAGCTTTCCTTCACGCTGATGACAGGCAGCGTGAGAGAGACAGATAGAGAGAGAGACGTGCCGCCACGTGGCAACCCGGAGCCCCGCTCCCGCGTGGCCCCCTTCCTCTGTTTGTTCCCGTTCTGACCACGTGTCGTTCGTCTCCACCCCTATTTAATACCCGGGTCACGTGGTACGTTTCCGCCAATCCTGGTTAGCCTCCATGGAATATTCCAGGCTCCCTCGTAGGCTCCCGGGGTCACGCCCCTGACTCCTCTCCCCATTGGCTCTGGCCAAAGCCAGCAGAACCAATCCTTTACTTGCAGCTGTCACCTTTCCATTACGTCAGGGCCACGCCCCTAGGCTTCCCCCCATTGGCTATAGACCAGGACCGGCAGAGCCAATCATCATGACGAGTTGTGATACGTCAGTGAGCCGGATATATCCTCACATTACACTCTGACTAATAAAATTACTGCCCAATCATTTCAGCTCAAGGCTTGGCATATTTAAACAATATACTGCATTTTAATTTTACTTAATGGTATGATTCGTATTGATGAATTCCTCCCCCGATGAAGCGCATGAAAATGGAATGACCCATATTGATACATTCAATGCAATACACAGCGGGCTCATGCAGATCATCCCAGGACACTTTAAAATACAAAACTCTGACGATAATAAACACGTTCCTTCGGAGTGGGCAGGTAGGAACTGGGTTGGACAGCGCGTCCGTGCATGACAGACAGACAAATAATCCCTGGTGGGCAGTGTGGAAGCTGTTGTTCCTACCTGTATAAGTGTAGTGTATCGTGTCGTGTACAGTGTCATGTGTAGGTTAAACGTTGAGTTTTATAAGGGCACCACGGGGTGACCAGCCCCACCCCACCCAGCCCCACCCCTCCCACCCCCCACCCAGCCCCACCCTCCCCACCCAGCCCCTCCCTAGCCTCCACACCCTCCCCTCCCCACCCAGCCCCACCCTCCCCACCAGCCCCTCCCCAACCTCCCCTCCCCACCCAGCCCCACCCTCCCCACACAGCCCCTCCCCACCCTCCCCTCCCCACACAGCCCCTCCCCACCCTCCCATAAACTGAATCACCTTCAGGCTGTGAATGTTGAAAGAAACACGAGGCAAAAAGATCCGCTTTTTTTCCTTTCAAGGCTTCCATTTTATGACTAGAGCCACCCTCCCCCAGTTCCATTTTGTGAATGAAACATCGCCCCGTCTCCTCATTGGTCCAAGTCGCGGCGGTGCCCCCCCCCCCCCCACCACTAACCCCCCCCCTCTACCAACCCCAACCCACCGCTCCCATTGGTCGGCACCCCCGAGTCAATGGGAGGGCTCTGGTGGGGCGGGGCCATGCACGATAGACAGACAGACAAGTAATCCCTGGTGGGCAGCAGTGTGGAAGCTGTTGTTCCGACCTGTATTACCACTAGCTACTCATTCCAGCTCCAGGATTGGCTAATTCAAACCTTTTATTTTCTTAGCTAGTGGTACAATCTGTATTTATTTATTCCCCTCCACCAGTGAAAATCATTAAATGGTCTGACCCAGCTTGCGCAATCAATCACGAGGGAGACTGAATCCGGATCAGACTGGTTCGAGTCAGAGCAACCACGTGATGAGACACGTGGTCATTTATCAAGAAAACCATTGACGCTTGGCCCCCATGACAGGCAGAAGTACAGGCGACCCCCGCACCTACAGCCACTCACTACAGGCGATCCCCGCACACCTACAACCACTCACTACAGGAGACCCCCTGCACCTACAACCACTCACTACAGGTGACCCGCACACCTACAGCCACTCACTACAGGCGATCCCCGCACACCTACAGCCACTCACTACAGGCGACCCCCTGCACCTACAACCACTCACTACAGGTGACCCGCACACCTACAACCACTCACTACAGGAGACCCCCCACACACCTACAACCACTCACTACAGGCGACCTCGACACACCTACAGCCACTCACTACAGGCGACCCCCACACACCTACAACCACTCACTACAGGCGACCCGCACACCTACAACCACTCACTACAGACCCCCCACACACCTACAACCACTCACTACAGGCGACCCCCACACACCTACAGCCACTCACTACAGGCGACCCCCACACCTACAACCACTCACTACAGGAGACCCACACACACCTACAGCCACTCACTACAGGCGACCCACACACCTACAACCACTCACTACAGACCCCCCACACACCTACAACCACTCACTACAGGCGACCCCCACACACCTACAGCCACTCACTACAGGCGACCCACACACCTACAACCACTCACTACAGGCGACCCGCACACCTATAACCACTCACTACAGGCGACCCACACACCTACAACCACTCACTACAGGCGACCCACACACCTACAACCACTCACTACAGGCGACCCGCACACACCTACAACCACTCACTACAGGCGACCCACACGCACCTACAGCCACTCACTACAGGCGACCCGCACACACCTACAACCACTCACTACAGGCGACCCACACACACCTACAACCACTCACTACAGGCGACGCACACACCTACAACCACTCACTACAGGCGACCCACACACACCTACAGCCACTCACTACAGGCGACCCGCACACACCTACAACCACTCACTACAGGCGACCCACACACACCTACAACCACTCACTACAGGCGACGCACACACCTACAACCACTCACTACAGGCGACCCACACACACCTACAACCACTCACTACAGGCGATGCACACACCTACAACCACTCACTACAGGCGACCCACACACACCTACAGCCACTCACTACAGGCGACCCGCACACACCTACAACCACTCACTACAGGCGACCCACACACACCTACAACCACTCACTACAGGCGACCCCCGCACCTACAGCCACTCACTACAGGCGACCCCCACACACCTACAGCCACTCACTACAGGCGACCCCTGCACCTACAGCCACTCACTACAGGAGACCCACACACACCTACAGCCACTCACTACAGGCGACCCACACACACCTACAACCACTCACTACAGGCGACCCCCACACCTACAACCACTCACTACAGGAGATCCCCACACACCTACAGCCACTCACTACAGGCGACCCACACACACCTACAACCACTCACTACAGGCGACCCACACACACCTACAACCACTCACTACAGGCGACCCACACACACCTACAACCACTCACTACAGGCGACGCACACACCTACAACCACTCACTACAGGCGACCCACACACACCTACAACCACTCACTACAGGCGACGCACACACCTACAACCACTCACTACAGGCGACCCACACACACCTACAGCCACTCACTACAGGCGACCCGCACACACCTACAACCACTCACTACAGGCGACCCACACACACCTACAACCACTCACTACAGGCGACCCCCGCACCTACAGCCACTTACTACAGGCGACCCCCACACACCTACAGCCACTCACTACAGGCGACCCCTGCACCTACAGCCACTCACTACAGGAGACCCACACACACCTACAGCCACTCACTACAGGCGACCCACACACACCTACAACCACTCACTACAGGCGACCCTCACACACCTACAGCCACTCACTACAGGAGACCCCCACACACCTACAACCACTCACTACAGGCGACCCACACACACCTACAACCACTCACTACAGGCGACCCCCGCACCTACAGCCACTCACTACAGGCGACCCCCACACACCTACAACCACTCACTACAGGCGACCCGCACACACCTACAACCACTCACTACAGGCGACCCACACACACCTACAACCACTCACTACAGGCGACCCCCGCACCTACAGCCACTTACTACAGGCGACCCCCACACACCTACAGCCACTCACTACAGGCGACCCCTGCACCTACAGCCACTCACTACAGGAGACCCACACACACCTACAGCCACTCACTACAGGCGACCCACACACACCTACAGCCACTCACTACAGGCGACCCTCACACACCTACAGCCACTCACTACAGGAGACCCCCACACACCTACAACCACTCACTACAGGCAACCCCCACACCTACAACCACTCACTACAGGCGACACCTACAACCACTCACTACAGGCGACACCCACACACCTACAGCCACTCACTACAGGCAACTCCCGCACCTACAGCCACTCACTACAGGCGACCCGCACCTACAACTTAATTGGTTCCTGGATGGCGGTGGCAAGTGGAGCCGTCGTACGTTGAAACTTAATTGCCCGTAGGCCGCAATGTGACACAGTCGGGTTCCCTTCCTGGAAACCCGCTATTGATTCTAGATTTGAAGCTTTCGTGACTGCAAGGATTCATATTCTTAGGTTTTTTTCGGTAAAGTCACGTAGGTAAAAAATTCTAAATTAATAAAAGTAAAATAAAAATAAAATAAAAATCACGACGTTTCGGAGGCAACACATGCTTCCGTCTTCAGGTGGGACCGTCACAGCACGATTGCTGTAATCAAGTAAATGAGAAATTACAAGAGATACTACCCCGTACATATACTGGTTGAGGGGAGGGGGGATGGGCCAGGACCGGCCCACTTTTATTATTATAGTGTCAAGCCGCACCTTACCATAACAAAGGCTCAGTCCTTTGTTATGTAGACTAGCCGTAGTCTCAAGCCGCACCTCACCATAATAATAAAAGTGGGCCATTCCTGGCCCATCCCCCCTCCCCCCTCAACCAGTATATATACGGGGTAGTATCTCTTGTAATTTCTCATTTACTTGATTACAGCAATCGTGCTGTGACGGTCCCACCTGAAGACGGAAGCTTGTGTTGCCTCCGAAACGTCGTGATTTTAATTTAATTTTTATTTTACTTTTATTAATTTTGTTTTTTTACCTACGTGACTTTACCGAAAAAACCTAAGAATATAACCCATTATTGCCTTAATAGATTGCGTCAGTATAAATGTGTCGTAAAACCCTCCACCACCCGACACAGCCAATCATCCAGGTTTGCCACGTAAACAAAACGTGGCAATTCGTTGCTAGTTCAGCAGGCCAGTGTGTGTGCTGGAGAGTAAACCCAATACAACGTTTACAACTGTCAATGACAAACCTTACCAACTGGCCGTGCCGGGTGGTGGCGGGTTTCACGACACGTTGAATATGTACGTGATCTAAACCAAAAACAAATTCTATTGTCAGAAATAAATCTATAATGGGTAACGTCTTTGGGAAATGACCCTTTCTCATAGTAACCATGAGATAAGTCGACCACCATAAGTGCGTATTTATTTTTCGATTTAAAGCTTTCGTGACTGTAGGGATTCATCTTCTTGGTTGTTTCGGTATAGTCACATAGAAGGGAAGTAATAAAATAATAAAAATAAAACATAATAAAATACAATTCTCACGACGTTTCGGCCACAACGCATTCCTTCCGTTTGTTAATGCTACCCCCATCCCCTCCCTTTGATGCTGCTAATCCTGCATAATGCACGGGCATAATATGACTTTGAAACCCCCCGCCCACCTCCTACGCATTTCCCATAAATATGCTAAAATTCCTGTTGATTTTGTCAAGGCGCTCTCCTTCCCCCCTCCAACCCAGCATAAATATACGCTCCAAGCTTGGTGGTGTTTCATTCATCACCTGAGGACGGCTGCTTGTGTTGTGGCCGAAATGTCGTGAGAATTATTTTATTATGTTTCATTTTTATTATTTTATTACTTCCCTTCTACGTGACTTTACCGAAAGAACCAAGAAAATGGGTCACGTTGTTGGGAAATGACCCTTCCTCATAGTAACCACGAGATAAGTCGACCACCATAGGCACGTATTTATTTTTAACGACGCTATACCCCTGAGCAGTTGACTACTGCACGCACGACGGGAGCTGCAGACTTAAGCCCGGCGATGTTGGACGAGACAGTTTGACCCTCACCTGTCCGCTGGGGTCGGGGATGACGCCGATTTCAACGACACGGGTGGAGCGATGGACGGCGTCACCACGGTGGTCAGCTTCGTGGTCGTTGTCGTCGGCGGCCTGGTCGGTGGGGCGCAGAAGAACTTGACGGCGTAGTTGAGGCACAGCGGCCTGGTCCCGTTCTGGTCGGCGTTGCGGCAGATGAGGCCGACGAGACGGTCGCAGATCACCTTCTGCCCCAGCGTGGCGACGTCCCGGCCCGGGTACATCACGGCCTCGCACTGCACTGCCACGGGCTCCGAGCAGACGCTGACGCCCGTGCTCCTAACCTTCTGGATCGTCTCGATGTCCCCCTCATTGTCCGGCGTGGGCGCGTCCACGTCGAACCAGCGCGTCCACTCGGCCGGCTTGATGTCGGGCTCCGTGGAGTTGGCGTCCTCCGAGGGCGGAGTCGTAACCCAACTCAACGACACTCCCGAAGCGACGGAAGATGTCGCGGCGGTCGGCTTCGTCGGCGGCGGCCTGGTCACCGGTCCGCAGAAGAACTTGACGGTGTAGTCCAGACACAGCGGCTTGCTCCCGCTCTGGTCGGCGTTGCGGCAGATGAGGCCGATGAGACGGTCGCAGATCACCTTCTGCCCCAGCGTGGAGATGTCGCGGCCGGGGTACATCACGGCCTGGCACTGGACGCCCACGGGCTCCGAGCAGACGTCGACGCCCGTGCTCCTGATCCTCTCGATGGTCTCGATGTCCCCCTCATTGTCCGGCGTCGGCACGGACACGTTGAGCCAGGGCGTCCACTCGGCGGGCTTCACGGTGAACTCCGTCGAGGCCACGTTGGAGGTGAACGTCGTGAGGCCCGGGGAGCTCAAGGTGGCGGTCGTTTCCTGAGTCGCGGGAGTCTTCCTCACCGTGGTTGACGCCGGAGTCTTGCCAGACACTGGCGAGGGGCTGGTCGACAGCGTGGTGTGCGCCACATCTGGCTTGGTGGGACTTGCCGATGAATGTTCGGAGTCTGGTTTGGTGGGACTTGCCGATGAATGATCAGAGTCTGGTTTGGTGGGACTTGCCGATGAATGATCAGAGTCTGGTTTGGTGGGACTGGCTGATGAATGATCGGAGTCTGGTTTGGTGGGACTTGCCGATGACAACTGAGCCGCTGGGCTTGTGGGAGCAGCCGGAGTAGTGGAGGTGAGGTCTGTGCACTGGGGGACACCGCTCACGCAGTCGCTGCAAGAGAAGAGAGAGAGAGACGGCACTCAGGTTAGAGCATCCACACGCACTTAGTCTGTGGGCAATGTTAGAGAATGGTACAATGTTAGTCTATGGACCATGTGAGTCTATGGACCATGTGAGTCTATGGTACGATGCTAGTCGATGGTACAGCCTGTGTGTGAATCGCTGACCATGTCTTGACGACGGCAACATTGCCGCTGGTGGTGGTGGTGGCGACGATGACGTTGGTGGCGTTGTGGTCGAGGCGGACGTCGTCCACGTAGCAGGGGCACTCACGCAGCGCCACACAGCGGTGGGCCTCCTCGTCCCAGTAGGGACGCGCCTTGACGCAGCGCGGGTAGCAGCCTGTCAACAACAACAACATCAACAACAAACACAACAACAACAACATCAATAGCGAGGCACTAACGCAGCGGTGTGACTCCTCGTCTCAGTAGGGGCGAGCCTTGACGCAGCGCGGGTAGCAGCCTGTCAACAACAACAACATCAACAACAAACACAACAACATCAACAACAACAACCACCACCGCATTGTACATGTGTGTGTGTGTACGTGTGTGTGTGTACATGAGCGTGTGTGTACGTGTGTGTGTGTACGTGTGTGTATGTGTGTGTGTACGTGTATGTGTACGTGGGTGTGTGTACGTGTGTGTACATGAGCGTGTGTACATGTGTGTGTGTGTACGTGTGTGTATATGTGTGTGTACATGAGCGTGTGTGTGTGTACGTGTGTGTGTACGTGTGTGTACATGAGCGTGTGTGTGTGTGTACGTGTGTGTGTACGTGTGTGCGTACTTGTGTGTGTGTACGTGTGTGTGTACGTGTGTGTACATGAGCGTGTGTGTGTGTACGTGTGTGTGTGTGTACGTGTGTGTGTGTATGTTTGTGTGTACGTGTGTGTGTGTACGTGTGTGTACATGAGCGTGTGTGTGTGTGTACGTGACTGTGTGTGTACGTGTGTGTGTGTACGTGTGTGTGTGTGTACGTGTGTGTACATGAGCGTGTGTGTGTGTGTACGTGACTGTGTGTGTACGTGTGTGTGTGTACGTGTGTGTGTACGTGTGTGTGTGTACGTGTGTGTACATGAGCGTGTGTGTGTGTGTACGTGTGTGTGTACGTGTGTGTGTACGTGTGTGTACATGAGCGTGTTTGTGTGTACGTGTGTGTGTGTACGTGTACGTGTGTGTGCTCATAGGAGGTGCACCGCACCACGGGGGTAGCAGCCTGCAAATACCACCACCAACAACAACAAATACAACAACATCAACAACAACAACCGCATTGTGCCATGGGGCACGGGTAGCAGTCTGGCAACAACAACAACAACCGCCATTCGCCAATAATTGGTGGTGACGTCATCACGAAACTTGTGCCAGGCTAGGTGTGCTTTGAGGCCTACACTTGAAGTGTTGAAGGCTCGCTGCTGGCAGGAGGTCACGGGACAGACCCAGCAAGTGCCATTGGTTGACTGCTGTGCCAAGCTAGGTGCAGGAGGAGGTCACGGGACAGACCCAGCAAGTGCCATTGGTTGACTGCTGTGCCAGGCTAGGTGCAGGAGGAGGTCACGGGACAAACCCAGCAGGTGCCATGGGTTGACTGCTGTGCCAGGCTAGGTGCAGGAGGAGGTCACGGGACAGACCCAGGTGGTGCCATGGGTTGACTGCTGTGCCAGGCTAGGTGCAGGAGGAGGTCACGGGATAGACCCAGGTGGTGCCATGGGTTTACTGCTGTGCCAGGCTAGGTGCAGGAGGAGGTCACGGGACAGACCCAGCAGGTGCCATGGGTTCCCTGGTGTGCCAGGCTAGGTGCAGGAGGAGGTCACGGGACAGACCCAGCAGGTGCCATGGGTGCCCTGGTGTGCCAGGCTAGGTGCAGGAGGAGGTCACGGGACAGACCCAGGTGGTGGCATGGGTTGACTGACTGAGACGGCTGGAGGATGCACCGCCCTGTGCTCCCCACTGTGCCAGGCTAGGTGCACTTTGAGTCCTCGTGAAGTGTTGAAGGCTCACCGCTGGCAGGTGAGGAAGCCACTGAGAGCTATGATGGACTTTGACATCATCGAGATTGAAAACTGATTTATTTAGAACTGCCTCTTGTGTTTAGATTGTTGTGCTTTCCCCGCCCCTCCGATTAGCGCGGTTGGCTACGTATGCTGTGAAAGATGTTTAACATGCGTACAATACACGGGACAGACCCAGCATGTGCCAAAGGTTGATTGACCGACTGCCAGATGCACTAGCTGTACTCCCCACTGTGCCAACTTGCTGTGTTTTAGCCGCCCGGCACTCCGCTCGTTGTTGTGAGTGTCGCCCCTCCGCCCTCCGTTGTTGGTGGAGGGCGACTGCCTCCAACTGCCCAGTAGCGTCCTTCAGGAGCCTCCTCCACAGAGGCCGATCTTGACACCGCTGGTACCAGTCAAGTCCACTCAGCACTCCATCTCTTCTCTAGCCCGTGCCGCGCCCGTTTAGCCCCTTCGATTTGGCCGAACAAAAGCTGTTTAGGCATGCGGTGGTTGGGCATGCGGGCGAAATGACCCAGTCAACGCAGCTTTGCCCACCTGAGGGGCTCACTGATGGAACTGTGTCCAGATCTTTCAAGGATTTGTGAGCTCCTCACACAATCCAGCCTGGTTAAACCCAGGATGGATCAAATGCATGCCAGCAAATGTTTCATTAGAGGTTTCCACGTTTTGTGGTGCCACAATGACGGGGCCGCTCTGCCGAGCCAGGGAGCCGCCCGGCTTCCACCACTGCACTGCCCCCCATCACCCCCCCCCACATAAGCACGCACCCGCACCCACGTAGGGCCTTGTGGTCGGGTCACCTACCCTGAGTTTTCACCCGAAGGCCCCCTCGGGGGGTTACCCCATGGTTTCTCAGGGCCAGGGAATTGGACAGGACCCTTCCCAGGCTAAGTAACACTGCGGCGCCGTGGGCGGATTTGAGATCGCACGACCACGGCGAGCTCAGAGAGCCCCGCAGTTAGAAACGCATACAAACACAAACACGGGTCAGCAAGGCAGATAGCTAGGATCAGGACCCGGGGCTGCTGATTAGCCAAAAGGTCAAAGGCCGGCGGGATCGCAAAAGGGCGGGAAATCCTAGGCTCAGGATTGGTCGAGAGACCAAGGCGGTCGGGACGGGGGCGCCTAGCCTTTGATGTGGATAGTTTAAAAGAAAACGCAGGGGCAGTAGGGAACTCTCTTCTTCTGGAGTAGTGACACGGGCTCAACGACGAGGGAGTCATCGGTCGAGCCGCTGGATCGTCTGCAAGACGACCTGAGCGCCGCAAGGTCACCCAGGACTACAGTCGGTATCGTATTACGCGCCTTACAACACCTCAGAGCGGAGAGTAGGATCCGTAGGAGAAGGTTAGTTCGGGGTAAGGACGAGTAGGAAAGCGGTGTAACAGAGAGTGCAGCATAGAATAGGGCTGCACGCCACTAGAGAGTGGGTTGGAAGCGCCTTGCTGGCTCGTACACACACACGGGTGGCTCGGTGGGTTAACAAGGGTTAATAAAATCTCGAGCGTAGTAACAAAACCGTGTTGTTGGGTGTTTTTGAACGTGGTATTAGCGTGCACTGCATTCGCGGGTGTGTGGTCGTTGTATGCGTAAAGGCCGTGGTCTTTGTACGATGGTGCGGGTACGGAGGTGTGTGTGTTAACGCCCGGGGAGAGCACTTTTGTGTGTTGGCGCGCCTACGCAGCCGTGTGAGAGGAGAATCGTCCTTGCACGATACTTGTGTTGACGTGCACACGCGAGTGCGGGAGGGGACGAGTCGTCGTGTCGGCGTGCACCCCGCTCGCGTGTGCGAAACCGCGGTGTGCAGTGAAGCTGTTAGCTTTGTGCGAGCTTGCGTGTGCTCGAGCGCGTAATCGGCTGCGCATTGTTGTACGGTTTATCTCGCGCGCACGGCGGCGGCAACTTGAGTCGTTGTGTCGGCGTGTGCCCCGCTTGCGTGTGCTCGTTACGTGCGTAAAGTGCGGCGCGGTGGTGAGTCCCTGACCCCCAGCCCCGCGGCTCGAGCGCGTAATCGGCTGCGCATTGTTGTACGGTTTATCTCGCGCGCACGGCGGCGGCAACTTGAGTCGTTGTGTCGGCGTGTGCCCCGCTTGCGTGTGCTCGTTACGTGCGTAAAGTGCGGCGCGGTGGTGAGTCCCTGACCCCCAGCCCCGCGGCTCGAGCGCGTAATCGGCTGCGCATTGTTGTACGGTTTATCTCGCGCGCACGGCGGCGGCAACTTGAGTCGTTGTGTCGGCGTGTGCCCCGCTTGCGTGTGCTCGTTACGTGCGTAAAGTGCGGCGCGGTGGTGGGTCCCTGACCCCCAGCCCCGCGGCTCGAGCGCGTAATCGGCTGTGCATTGTTGTACGGTTTATCTCGCGCGCACGGCGGCGGCAACTTAAGTCGTTGTGTCGGCGCGTGCCCCGCTTGCGTGTGCTCGTGTGATCCCGTGTTATAAGTGTGAACGCGTGTGGTACGGTGTATGCGTAAGCTCTCGTCGTGCGAAATCGGCGTACCCCAGGTGCGCGATTGTAACGTGAGCGGCCAGCGCGGCGCAGAGCGGCGCAAGAGTGAGTGCCGTGCAGAGCTGTGTGTGTGGGTGTGTGCGTACGTAATTAACCATGCCTGCTACGCGGACCCGCGGTGGAGGGGAATCCTCGGGCGACGGCTCCCACACCATGGGTGAGGAACTTAGCAGCGGTTCGCTTAGCAGCGGGGGGGCGATTGATGATGCTAGCCCGGCCGTTAGCATTATCGAGGGAGGGATCTCGGGGGCTAGCGACCCCCACAAATTGGTGTCGGAAGCGGTACGGACCCCCGCGTTACCTCACGCTAAAATAAGACTAATATTTACCGGCCGGGGGGCCCCTTCGTGGAAGGCATTCGTCCGCAATCTCTTAGGGGCCAAGGAAATTAATGGATGGACGGACGCGCAGGCAGTACGTCAACTTAATATGAATCTTGATGGGCGGGCAGCCGATTTTGTAGAAGCGTTACCCGCGAGCGCACAGACACAGCTAGAGGAGCTGATGCGCCGACTCGATCAGCGTTTTGGCACGCGTGACGAGGAGGAAGCAAAATCGGCCTTAGAGGCGCGCCGTCGCCAACCTGGCGAAGATCTACGTGATTACGCCGAGGATGTGCGCGAGTTAACAAAGATCGCACGCCCGGGGTACGCAACTGATGTTATTGAGGAACTGGCCGCTGAGAAAATCCAGCGGTACCTGTCTCGCACGGCGTGGTGGCAGCCAGACATGAGCTGCCCACGTCTTCCCTTTAACACCCTTGTCGAGCGCGCACGTAAGTGTGAAAGAATTCACAGCGAACGCGCGCAGCTCCGGGG